GTTGCTGATTGTGCCCCCAGGACATGGAGAGTCTGAGCACCGACAATCTCATGCGTCTCCAAGTCGAGCAGCTCGAGAAGGAGAAGAAGGAGCTCAATGAGCGCATGCGCGTTCTCGCGAAGCGCCTCGACCACATCGAGCGTGCGTACCGCAAGGAGGAGCGCCCCCTCCTCGCAAAGGACTACGAGCTGCAGCAGGCGAACGATCGCGCGGTCTTCGAGGCGACGCAGAAGGCGCGCCTCGAGGCTCATCGTGCGGCGTTCCAACAGGACATCGAGACCAAGCATCGCCTGACGCGGATGCTCGACGACTACAACAAGCTCAAGGAGTCTATCCAGTCGCGCAGAGGAGAGGAGTTCGCCAGGAAGAAGGAGCTGGCGCAGAAGAAGATGGAAGAGGAGAAGGCGAAGCGCCGCGCTGCTGTACTCAAGGCTCGCGAGGAAGAGCGCCTCAAACGCGAGGAGGAAGAACGTATCCAGCGGGAGAAAGAGGAAGAGGCGGCCCGCTTGGAAGCAGGTTTGTGCATGCTGCATCGTTTCATACGTAATAAGATGCTGACCTACGTGTGGCAGAACGTCTCGCCGAGCAAAGACGCAAGGAGGAGGAGGAGGAGGCTGCTCGTGCTGCTGCCGAACAGAAGAAGCGCGAGGAAGAGGAGCGCGCTGCTGCGATGCGCAAGCAGAGAGAGGAGGAACGGCAGCAAGCCCTGGAGGCAGCACGTCGCCAGCAACAACGCGAGGAAGAGGCTCTGCGCAGGCAAGCGGAGCGCAAGGCGCAACAGGCCGCCGCTGCTTCCACTGCCCGTGCTCCTGCTCCTGCTGCCGCCGCCGCTGCTCCCGAAGCCGGGGTGTGGCGAAGGGGCACGCCTGTCAGCTCCGCACCTCCTGCACGCGCCGGCGTCGCTACTCCTCCGAGGTCAGAGAGCCCGGCTCCCAAGTACCGCCCTGGTGCCCTGGCCGGTGCCGGCACCACTTGGCGGGCTCGTATGGCTGCAAAGGAGGCCGGCGGCGCGTCTGGCGAGACTACTCCTGCCAGACCCGCTTCTCCCGCTTCCCCCGCTTCTCCCGCGCCCCCGAAGGATGCCCCGAAGGATGATGACGGTTTCCAGACCGTACCCCAGAAGAAGTGGGGTGCTTCGCGGCTTGGCGCCCGCCGGGCTGCATAAGCCTCGGGAGGCGTCGCCTCATGTCCCTGGTTGGTGCTGTCGTCACTCATGCATGCTTTGCACCAGTTTTTGAGCCATTGCTATTCGGTAGTATCAGATGTCCCATCAACGTCTGCGACGGCATTCACGATTATTACGGACGCGATGTATTGATGGCTCGCTGTATCGGTAGTGGTATAGCTAGACCCCATGCTACGCAGCTCCTAATCCGATTCCATCTCTATCTCATTCTATGCGGCTTGATCAGAAGCTTGGTGCAGTCCTTGTTTGCCTGTGAGAGAGGTCTGTCCAGACGGTGAGTGGCGCGTCATACTATCACGGCGTATCCCGACGCTCAACTAGCTTCTACGCGCCTCAGCATGCGTTATGTGGTGGTCGGGGTGTTCTGACATCTTCTCGATGCTCCTCGTGCCCCGGAAGTCGCTGTACTCGGAGTACAGTTACGACCTGATGCAAGCACAGTAATACGAGTATGCAACTATCAAGGAAGGCGTGTCAGCGGTGCAACATTTCTTGACATTCTCTGCCGGGCTTCCTGATATGCAAGTTATCTAGAAGGCACGTCTGTCTTCCGCTGAATTAGAGGCTGGCTTGCGAGCCTAATATGCAAGAGCCTGTGAGCCTCGATTTTCCAAGGGACCCGCCCTTGCGTCCACGACCTCGTAGCATAGGACCGGAGAAGCACCTTCACTTCCTCATGTCCTTCCACGGTTGTATGCCTGTGAGTGCTATCCTTCCGTGTCCAAAGGGTGCGCATTATGCTATGACCCTGGTCGTGTTGACGTTGGCTGATATTGAAGAAGCAATCGTTTTTCTTCACGACAACCTGGACGCTCTCTCGAATATATCACGCAGAACCCGTTCCCAAATACGCCTATCCACATCCGAGGAGTCTAGCGGTAGAAGTTGCATGCTTCACTGCCATGCTACCGCGGACGCCTGCTCACGCTACGCACATATAGGGCCGGCCGTGCCATGCCATTCCAAGAACATCGTCTCGCTCTGCCCCGGGCTCCGACATGGACTTCACCTCAGACGCAACCGATGGGACTGTCAGCCTTTGCACTGCATACGGCGGGCCTACCGAGACTATCGGTGCACTACTCATAGGCACTTGGCTAGGCCTGATGTAAGTCTATTCAGCGGTTCATATACTGGATACTGATGCTCCCTCGTTCGTCGCGCGATACAGACTGTATGGGCTCTTCGTCCATCAGACATATGTGTTCTTTTCCACCGGTCCAAAGGAGCAGTCGCGAGTTCTGACGGGTCTGGTGCGTTCGAGTAAGCGTTAACTATCGTTGTGCTCATTCTGACGTACGCACAGGTCCTAACCATTCTGTGAGCCCTCTGAACGCTCTACCTCGTCTACTCTACTGACCCCAGGCCAGGATCCTAGAGACTCTCCATAGCGTCTTTTGCATGCTTGCAACGTAGGCCTCTATTTTTCTTCGATGCCACCTTTAATTGAGACTGTGCCATAGGTATTCTTCTTTCGCCATCGACCGGCCCCTTGCTATATCTGCGAGCAAGAACGGATGGTATGTTTCAGGCATAGCAAGCTCCTGAGACCCTCAGTACTCACCTCATTGGACAGGTCTCTGCATGTAAGACAGGCCCCTTAGTACCTGCTTCGTGTGTTGAGTGGTATCTCATCCATCGATGACATGTCAGATCTTGGATGTGCTCTCGGTCAGTAGGCCCTTATGTATGTTGTGCGTAGACTACCTCACTGCCATCCATAGGCCGTAATATTTTGTTTCACGCAAAGGTGCGTCGCAGAATTAGATTTCCAGCTCTGCGTCTGACTGGGGATGCCGCATGTGAAGTCTCTTCGCTCGACGTGTCGCCTTGAGTACGTCTGCGCGCAGGGATCTGATAGTGCTTCAGCTCACTGTGCTCTATAGTATGGCGCGACTACGGTCCTGTAGTCGCGATCATCGCTGTGAGCTCCTCTTCAGTTGACGCTTTGCGACTCGCAAGCATTGACCGGATCGACGTCTTTCCCGGTCAGGGAGCTCTGACAGCTGGGCAATTGGGTAAGTACGCCTCACTTTATGTCTTAAGGCCATCCTGATGAGTAGGTTAGGCGCTGCCATTGGTGCGTACCTGATTCGATATTGTTTCACCGACAGTCTACTTACCGTCGACGCAGCTTCAAGTGTTCTGATGTCAGTTTCTTTGGCTAATCGACTCCATGTTGAGGGACTTATCTGTACGACTCAGGTACATGTCGCCAACGGACCATACCCTTGAGCAAATAGGGGTGAGCACGAACTGCTACGGCGGTTGCACCATGCAACTCACTATCACTCGCACGACAGTCTCTTCATATCGCGCAATCCGTGCTGGTCATAGTTGCCAGCGAGCTCCTCGCGGGCGCTCTTATCCATCGACTGAGACGAAGCCGGACCGGATATGCTAGGTAGGTTGCAGTTCTGCCGCGCGAGGTCAGATACCAGTCATTGACTGACTATATTTCCAGGACCGACGGCATCATCCGCCTTCTGATACTATGCGCAGGGAACACAGGTGAGTGTATCCTGGTTCTGACGTTCTCCGTAGTTTGACTAAGCTCGATATACATCAGGGCTGTTGGTGGGGTGAGCTTCAGTCCTAATGAGAACTTGGAACGTCAGTGTCTCAAGTAACGTTTAAATGCTCAGGATATCGAGTCTGCTGTCGTTGATCTTCGTGAGTTTGCATTTGCATTGTCTACTTCGTGATCACTGCGACTCATCGTGATGTCGCTGTAGTCCAAGGCTTGGCCTAACAGTCATTTGTGTGGCGCCGTCAACATTGTTGCGACGAACCGTACGTGAACCCTTCCTTCCACACTATAAGCCGCTCAACTCCGCGTCACATATCACTAGTGTATGCGGTGTCGCTTCTTGCGGAGTGAGCATACTCGAGTGTTCCTCCCCAGAAGCGCTTATGCCGATCGATGCCATAGGTACAATTCTCGACAAGAATGGATCGGCGAGGACGTGCGCTCGAGGATACCCGAGCCCCACAGGGGGGTCCAGGTCTACGGGATGCCGGCATCACCGGCGGGCATCTTTTCGATCAGGAGGGCGAGCCGGGGGGAGCAAATCATGGTGAGGAGTAGTCATATGCAGACTGTGAGCGGTCCTCTGGGTTGCTCGGCTCATGACGGACGTGATTCACCGGCAGGCTCAACGCTTTCCGATGTCAATTCCAGGGATCAACATTACCGTGACAAGGGAGATTATAACCGACCATGGAGGCGAGACGAAGGTGACACCACTATAGCAGGTTGAAGGTCGTTGACCCGTCGTGACGCACAAATGTGTCGAGGGGTACCTAAACCCGGTCCCACGGTGGACTGCGTACGGAGCTAGCGAAGATATGTGGATATCCAAGCAATGAAGTAGACTGGGCCAGTCCCTACTGTAGCGCGGACCTCACCCGGAGCCTGAGGCCTGAGTAAGGTCACAACGTGATTGCGAGCCGCTGTGTGATGATTATAACCCAGTGGAACGTCGAGTCGCCATACGACTAGTCAGTCCATCGTCGAGTGTACTAATAAATTACCGAGCCTCCTCCCGCTGTCGCCGACTTAACTCATGCTTCTTATCAACCTGAGGAGGGATTTGACAGTTGCTTGCAAGTTTCAGGAAGGGGTACGGAGAAGAAGGTCAGTTCCCTGCTGCCATCGGTGGCTAGGCTTGTGCTTACGGTGAGCCTCCTCGACCGTACGCGGGACTCAGAAGAGAGCATCACAGCTAGAACGACAGCAGTGGTGAGGCCTGGTGAGGAGCAACAAACGTCCTGCACAATACTCCATATACACTAGCATCCGAAATGGCAGTGTGAACCCATGGCGCAGCGGTAGCGCGTGAGATTCCAGAGTTTGGCGTCCTCAAGGTCATCCGTTCGATCCGGGTTGGGTTCAGACGTGTCTACTTTTTGCTGTCAGCAGATGTGCTGTGTTAAATGGCCACCGGTCGGGAGCCTGGCATCGCCAGAACTTGGCAGAACGAGACCTGCAGCGGACATCTCGACGAACGACGCGAAGTCGATATCTCTGTGCAGTGCCGAAGCTCACCTATACTGCAATACGTACGGCATCAGGTATCGTGTCAGGATCATATCACGAAAATGGAGCAATCCTAACATAGCGTAAGCCACCAGCCGCACATTCGAATTGCACCTGTTTGTACTTGTGAGGCACAGCGCTAGATGCACGGATCAAATCACATCAGACGGCATGCTGAGCGTCTACCAGAGCCGCACAGGAACTCGTTGAACAACTGTACTATGGTCGTCGCCATATTATCTTAAGCTCTCTTACTTTTTGCTAGAAGCACGCAATTGACCGAATATGCGCAAGTAAGATACGCCAAATGGGCAGAGGAATATCTGGCGGGAGCTGAGTGGCGGACCGGGACATGCCGATACTCACTCGCAAGTGCACAAGAAGGGCCCGTACATGCAACGAATAATTAGCCCCAGCGCGGTACGCGTTGCAAGGTATGCCGCTCCAATTGTTCCATTGCGGATAACATGTTAGCCATGCGGCTAATCACATAGCAGTACAAAGAGCAGACGATGCTAGCGAGTCACCGTGTCGTGGCACCAGTTGCAACTGAAAGCGCTGCACTTGTCGTCTCCAATAGCGAAGTGACTGCAGTATGCTGTTGAGATGTTTGAAAGTCAGGGGAGAACAACTCTGCGAGACGCATTCAGCCATTGTCCGCGGCCGATCGAGGTGAAGAGTCCGAGTCACGCCCCCTAGCCACAAGCAACCGGCAGTGTGCACCAAAAATGGATGTGCATGCCTGCCATAGCCATATGTGAGGGTATCTCTTTGTCATTTGTTGACATTGTCCATTGTCCCTTATGGCTGATAATGCCCCTTGCCCCGCTCACCTGCCCGCCGGGCGACAATCGCTATCTTGTTTACTGAGATTTGTGCTGCGCTCCCCCGCATAAAAGCGCCCCTGCACCCTCCCTTCGCGCCCTCAGGAACCCCAGCAGTCCCACTACCATGGTGACCCTCAC